CGCTGCTCCTCCACATCGAGAGGTGCCAGTTGAGGTGGTTCGGGCATCTGGTAAGGATGCCTTCCGGACGCCTCCCTTGGGAGGTGTTTCGGGCATGTCCAACCGGGAGGAGACCTCGGGGCCGCCCCAGAACACGCTGGAGGGACTACATCACCCGGCTGGCCTGGGAACGCCTCGGGGTTCCCGCGGAAGAGCTGACAGAAGTGGCAGGGGAGAGGACTGTCTGGGCTTCTTCGCTGAGGCTGCTGCCCCCGCGACCCGGACCTGGATAAGCGGAGGACGACGACGACGACAATTGGTTGCATTTAAAGGAATCATGTGATCTATCAGCTGACTCCCCTCCATCAATCAGCTGCTCCTTCAATTAATTGGACTGCTTGAGATCAGCTGATGTAGCTGGGATGTGAGCTGAGCTTGACATGGTGTCCTGCCTGAATGCTATGCTCAAGTTTTTGCTGCCTTAACTTCCCATGATACTATTACCCTCATAAAGCCGCTCGCTTCTCCAATTCGCTGAATCCTCCACGAATAAAGCAGAGCTTAATAGAAGCCACACCTGGCTTCTAAAGGGAACAGGAGATGACACTCTACTTGGTTGACTTCGTGTTATGCCCAAAACACACCTATGATTAATTAAGGGACCCCTTTGCCCCTTTGCCCCTTGACCCTTTGCCCCTTGACCCTTACTTTGCATCCAGCTTATGCACCGTTTAAGTAGCCAAATTGGTTGGACACACTATAAATGCTCTTGCCCTGTGCACTTTAGACCATGAGCTATGGACTATTAATAAGGGCCCCTTAGAGTCTACAGCAGTCCATCCAATAGTGTCAAGATATTTCACTCTAAATCACAAATGTTAACCTCATGGTGAGGCTAGAGGAAAAATTAAGGAAAAGTAGGATTCAGCCTTTGGGCACCATAAACATGTGTACAGGATTTAATCGCAATCCATCCAACAGTTAGAGATATTTAAATTGGTGACCAGCCAACAGACAGACATTTCTATTCCTAGAGCAATGGTACCAGCATGGCTAAAAATCCCAATTAGTAAGATATATTTGACATGTTTTTATTATCTGGTCAGCTTTATCAGCAATGGATGGGGCCAGTTGGACTCCTGTCTTCTAAAATCCTGTCTATAGCCCTGTAGCCAAACAGCGATTCAAAGAGGATCTAGCTCATGAAACCTTTTCAGATCCTGTAATAATCACACTGTCAGCTTGGTCTTAAGAACAAATCCTCAGCTGCACAAGGGTGCATGACACATTTCACTTGTTAATCAGCAGGTTAATTTGGAATGAGCATAAGAAAAACACAGCTGAACTGACAATGATAAGAGCACCGCCTACAAGAAACTCAAACTTCATCAAGTAGAACACCAAGGACACAGACGTCAAGAGTATCATCCACATCGTTTGACTGATCTTAAAAGAGTGCGGGGCAGAAACACCACCACTTTTTTTTTCCTGAGTACAAAAGATAGGAGACTTACATTGTGAGGAAAGCAGCAAAAACTAGCCATTGTAAGCACAGTGGTGATGTGGCTGGAGAGACTGTCCATTATCAGAAAGTTCATAGGTTCGATCCCCACAACAGATTAAACACCCAGCAGCCTCGTGACATGTCAAACTCTCCTTGAACAAAACGCTGCAGCCTGCAGTTGCACAGTGTTCACCAGCAGCACCGTGAACCATGAAATGTAAAAATGGGGAATCTACACTGTAAATGTCTCTCCTGTATCACAGTTTGACCCCCTTGCATTTAATGATGCATGTGTTTGCATAATCTTTTGCAGAAACTCTGAAATATATTTAAGGAGGTCACTGCAAGTCAAAGAATGCCCATGTGACAAATCCAACATTTAGACTATGGTTTTAATATAATAAAGCAAACATTTTGGGGCATTAAAACTGTTAAAAAGTGTCATCACTTTGAGTTAGTGATACTGTAACACTGAAGGTTTAAAGTGAAAACTCAATATGAGTGTCTTATCTATTTTTGATGCCCTCATGGGGGTACTATAATGATTTTATTGGGTTTTAAAGATTTTTATTAGGTAATTTTATGTTTTAACAATCTTGGGACCATGTTTAAATCACTCTGTGTTATGGAAACAATGTGATTTGTAGATCCATAAAAAAAAAATCTAACCAAATCAAAACTGAAAGGTAAAACTATCTATCTTTATTAGGTTTTGGGCACAGCTCTGTAATGCACATCTATGGTTTTACTTTATCCCCATCCATCTCATCATTCACCCGACTGTCTCCTTTTCTGCTTCAATAAGGTCTATGTTCATAATTGCTTGTAATCATATGTCATTATGATATATATAATTTGAAAAACTAGCAGCAATAGGCATTTGACAAGAGGCAAGAAAATGACGTGTCTTTTCCATCAAGGTGCTAGGTGCTTCACACGGAGCAGGCTGTACTATAACTATTCAGACCTCCATCAGTCGAATGCCAGCTGCTTTCAAAGTGCAATAATATGAGAGAAAGGAGGTTACAAATAATTATTTCTGAATTACAGCGTTTTCAACACAATAGTAGAAATTACATTTTTATAATGAGCTATATTTTGAGCTGTTGGAAAGCTTTGTGTAGGTTTTTATCAGTGATATGGTTCCAGTCCTTTGCTGTGTGATTTCATTTGCCAGCAGGAGACTTGAAGACTTCTGGATCACAATAAGGATTGGTGAATTAAAATTTACTCCTTTGTAATAAACTGTGATAAAGGTTCATGACTAAGTAGATCAGCTACAGCTTTAAGCATCCGCCTGCTCTCTCTTACAGGTAGGTTATTTTAGAAAAGGGATTCCAAACTTAGGGGTCGCAAAACACATTTGAGGTGTCATGAGATGATTAACAGGATAGGACAGCAGAGGAAAGTTTTCCTTCTGCACCAAATGATGCTTATTTTTAAGACCTTTATTCAATCTTTGTTCTGTAGCCATGCCAACAAAGGCTGGATGGTGGTCGGGCTGCTGGTTGGCAGGGTCCACCTTTTTTAGTCCAGACTAAAATATCTCCACGACTATGTGATGGATTTCCATTAAATTTTGTACAGACATTCGTGGTTCCCAAATGATGAATCATAATGACTTTGATGATCCCCTGCCTTTTCCTCTAGCACCACATTTGTTTGTACAATCTTCCATGTCCCTCTCAGGATGAATTGTAATGGCTTTTGTTATTCCCTGACCTTTCATTTAGTGCGACCATCAGCACTGTTTTCCTGTGAAGCACTGAATAATTTTGCAGCTGAAAATGATTCATTTGTTATTTGGTAGAACTTGTCACAGCTGGTAGACACTTGCATTGAGTGATGAGGAGAAACAAGTAGACATTCCCCCAGTTTTTAAGGGATCACAAGCCAAAAGTGTTTGGAAACAGTTGGAGTTTGTGTTGAGCGCTGTCCAAGGTGCTGATCCTGGAACAGCCAGGGATGCTGGAGCTCCCCGAGGTACTTTAACAATAACGGGCAACATTCCTGCTGGTAACTCTGACAGGATGCAGCATGGCTAACGGGGTCTGCTGTTCCAAACATCCGTGTTAGTGTAGGAAGTCTGCCAGCTTATTATGCTGGTTATTTTATTGTTTAGTCTGCTGTTTCTGGGCATCACTTTGATATTTTCAGTGTGGTCCTTTTTCACAGAGGACCACAGAATCATATAAATGGGCTGGAGCAGTTTAGTAACTGATATCTAAAGGGAAAATTAAAATAGGAATTAATAAAATGCACACATAAATAAATTAATCCATTATTAAATGGTTAAAATAAAATAAGGTGTGGGTGAATGGAAAAACAAATGAAAAGAGAAATTATAATTCCAATTACATGATTAACTCTGTAATGTTAATTCAGTTTGGGAATTTTTTTTTAAGATGCATATTCCCCTAGTGTTTATTGATTTACATTCTTTTCTTTATAAATTCCTTTAAATTTTACTTATTGATGAAATATATGTTAATTTCTGCATTCTTCCTCCTCCTTTTTAATATAAGAAAATTTACGATACCTTAATGTATTTACTAGGAATTGAGTGCATGCTTTATTACCATTTATATGACACCTGTGGTCTTCCATAATCTCTATGCTGATACTGTGTCACACTGCGGTGATGCAGCCATTTTTTTCCTTCATTATTATCAGTATCAAGCTGTGCACTCTGTTTAATTCACACAAGGTCTAAGGCTCCTTGTATTATTCTGTGTTGCTGAAAGGCAGGGGGCCCGCTGGGAGCACGGGGCCACCTGCCATGTGGGTATATACTTTATGACCCACTTTCTAGTCTGGTTTCGACAAAATCCTCGAGTCAAGATGCATCTCAACAGTGTGTTGTGTGTTCGAAAATGATCAAAGCGCACAATTTTTAACTTTGAGGTCATAACACCACGAGTCTGATGCTGATGAAAGGATTATGCATGTTGTTATTGATTGGCCCATGGGGTTCCTGCATCATTCACATGGGACGATGTGTTTGCTGCTGTTGTGATCGGCTGTTCAACAACCCAATAAAGTGTGTTACTTCTCAGCCTTTGAATCTGTAAATATCTATCTTTCTATCCATCTATCTATATATAGATATAGATATAGAAAGATGGATAGAAAGATAGATATTTCTATATATCTATATATAGATATAGATAGATAGATACATATAGATATAGATAATAAATGATCTTAAAATGAGAGAAATAATGACTTGTGAAACGTACAGTATGACAAACATATGTTTACACACCTGAGGGCCGTGCTGCAGATGCATTTAAATTTTAAATTACAATTTTCATTCCCCAGTTGAGACTCCTATCCAGAGCAGCCTACAATAGGAACATCTTTTAGAACCATTTTAATTCTCAGATCAGCTGCATTACAAGCACACAAGAGCAAAGAGTACAAAGGTCAGAGAAACAGCATCCTGGAAATTCTCTAGATGTTTTTTATTTTAATGCTAATGAATATTACACTAAAAGCTTTCTTTGTGTCTTTGCAGGATCCAGTCTGGCTCCTACCTCAGCACTGGCTGGTTCACACTCATCCTCGCCATGGACATGTGCAAAGAGATCCATATCTACGGCATGATAAATGACACCTACTGCAAGTAAGACACCAACTATCACCCTCCATACTTGGATGAAAAATGTACACGTTGCTATAAAAACTTCCAAAACTAGATTCACATTCGCAGCGGTGCTGGCCAATTGCAGCCTCCCATAATCGCGGACTGCCCTGTTGGAATACATTTCTGATGCCTCAGTTTGGATTTAATGGCTGAATTTCTATGCTGAAATCCATATTGGGTTCTCTGTGCCGTGAATACCATTATGTTTCCCTGCCTAGAATACCCAGCAGGCTGCAGAGTCTCCAATGCTATGGGTGGCTAGGCTGCAGCACCCAATTCCTTCCCTGCTTAAAGTTTTATTTGTATATCGGCCTGTCGTCTTCTCTCCGACTCTTGGGTGAGTGATTACTGTCTGGCTGCGAGGCCATAGGAGGGATGACAAACAAGATGCTGTTGCTCCGGGCATGGCTGCTCGGTCTCGAGTCATCTCAGCCTTGATTGACTCTCCTACTCTCTCCCTATGTTTCCCCTCCACTCTTGCAGCTCAACCTGAGCTCTCTCTATCCCCCGAATCAAACACTTTTACCTAATACGCAGTGAAAATCCTGCCTTTTATCCTCTTCGTGTTCCCCGTGCACAGCAGGAGTTGAAATATAAACAGCCCCAGACACATGGCAGAGAGGAGTGATAATTCAACCAGCACCGAGGATTTTATGATTCAGTGAGGCAGTTAAGGGGCGGCACTCTCTGCCTGCCTGTCTCTCACTTGTTTCCTTCCTCTCCTGCGTGAGACAGGAAGATATTGTGTTTCACTGAGTTTCTGAATGGACAATTTAGTGCCACACAAAGTGCTCTTGGCAGCCGACTGCTCCAGTACAACAAGAAGAAGTGATGTTTTGTGTGACGACGTTCAAGGCACCAGACAGAATTGACCTCAGCAGGTGCTGCAGAGAGTGAGGGTGAAATTGAATTTATTTGTTAACGCTGCTGCGCACTACTGTGTGACACAGAGAGGAGAGGCAGTGATTGGACTGTGTATTACTGTAAGCTGGCAGACAGCCACAGTGGCTTTCTCACTGTGGACCCTCTGGTGATGGCTGTTTCTCTTCTGTCTGTGTTCATCCTCCCAATGAAATTGTTACACAAGTCATCTTCTCATAAAGCCGTCACTCGCTATTAGAACCCAACTGCAGAGTGCTCAATGAATCTATTCTACCGCTGCGTGCTCACTCCAGTCGTTATTGATTCCTCCTTCTTTTTAATGGTTTGAAGATGCAAACTGTAAACACAGCGACTCATTGTGAAATTCAGGTCAGAACGGCTCAACTTCCCCCGACTGTACATTATGATGGTTTTTTAGATTTACTTTGGCTCAGAATAGGAATAATATCTCGCCAATAAAAGAGTATTTATTGAATAAATCCAGCCACAAAACAGCAGCTCCTGCTTCTTTTTAAATGACTGAGACCTGCCAAGAGGAGAATTTAGCCTGGGGCAGAATCACTTCAGACTGCTGAATGCTGTTCTGAGGGATTTTCAGTTTAATAGTTTAATAATTTAGTTTACTTATTATTGCAGATGATAAAAGTTGTAACTCTGGACTGGAATTTTTTATGAACTGTCATAAAAAAATGCCTTAGCTCTAAGTATTGTCTGACAAACAAAATCATGCCAAAACAATACATCTAATACATATTACTAATGTATATATACACAAAAATGTAAATGAGAAGCACTCAGAGCAAATTCAATTTTCAGGACGTACAGCACAGTGTGTTTTGCAGGAGTGTTGAAATGACAAACATCTGTGTTACTTTACAACAAAACGTATGTTATCATAAAATAGAATACTTTAATTTACTATTTAACTGTTAACTTGCGTGAAGTGGTGTGGTTTACTGTTGCCAGAAATATGGATTATACTCATTTCCCGCAGTATCATAACACCTGTGCCAGCTGCACTCTCATTTTCATTTTCATTCTCTCTCTCTGTTAATGTTTACTATAGTTGCGCTGTTGTTCTCTGCTGCTAACCAAGAAAAGAAAATCCATTGTTGTCATGTTATAGCCCTGTTATCTTTATTTTAATAAAAATGAATACCATCTATGTCAGTTTTCCCTGTGATACTGAAAATTGTATCAAATATAGATACTTTAAGTTGGATGTTCCAGCATTGTGTCACTGCTACTATGGTCAGCAACATATGGCAAAGATCATTTTAACAACTAAGACAGATGTTCCAAACAATGTTTTCATTGTTGTTCATGACACATTTTTCATATTGGGAACTCAGGTTACCGATTTAGTTTGCAGCCTGCTTGGAATCATTGATTGAAACAACAGTCTAACAATAACGTGTCTTCCCCTAATAGTCAATTAACATAATGATAGAATTGCACCTTGACTCTCTTTTTAAAGGGGACTTTCACCCATTTTCAAAATTCATACATTTTATTCCTAAGACAGTCCACAACTATAAGTAAACACAAGCAACTCTCTCAAATCCAAAAACTGTTGGGGTGCCGGTGGCTTAGTGGTAGAGCAGGCGCCCCATGTACAAGGCTGTTGCCGCAGCGGCCCAGGTTTGACTCCAGCCTGTGGCCCTTTGCTGCATGTCACTCCCTCTCTCTCTCTCCCCCTTTCACACTTGTCTGTCCTATCCATTAAAGGCTAAAAAGCTAAAAAGCCCCAAAAAATATCTTTAAAAAAAAAATCCAAAAACTGTGTGAGTGTTAAAACTCAAATGTTGTGATGCCATAGGGTATAAAGCCTGGAGCTGCTTCACAGATAATGAATAGTGAAAGATGTTATAGATGACACTGAGAGCACCCAGGGGAGTGTTCTGAGTATATGGGTACATTTTCTGTTTCAGAACTGAGAACACTGCATTGGAATAAAAAAAAGAAAACAAACACTGTGTTGGTTCACAAAATCAGGCTCCCATTCATTGTCTGTGGAGCAGCTCCAGACTGTATACTTGATGACATCACAAGTTTCAGACTTCTCTAAGAAAGTAGCTCATGCTCACAAAATTGTGACTGAACTTTCCAAGGACATGGAAATAACATATTGGAAGCAGTAATTTACGAAGCGTTCCACTTTAACCTTTATTGTGAAGTTGTGACGAGCTGCTCTGATGAAATCTCTGCTGATCTGATTAAGTGTGATCGATCAGCCCATCACTCGCTGAGCTGAATCAGATAAATCCTGCTGCCACATCGCAGCTCATTATCAATTTACTTAGTGGATGGCAGTCCAAACAGTCTCCAGATTCATTAAATACATGCATTTGTTTTTGATGGCACTGCTTGTTGTCCCTGATGCTTGATAATTATAAAATTATTTTTCAAAAAGTGTTTTATTGTTAACATTAGCAGAGCTGCTCTTTATTTCAGAGACAAGAAGCCTCCACTATAAAACACTGCAAAATGTTTCTTTCTTTTGTTCTTTTCTTATGTCTTTGTTTCTTATTCTTTCTTTCTCTCTTTCCTCTCTTCTTCAGGACGGAGGGTTACAGAAAGGTTCCCTACCACTACTACGAGGCGGGCAGCCGGGACGAGTGTGCAGAGTATCTGCTTCATGAGAGCGCCCCCTACGGCGGGCACCGCTTCATCACCGAGAAGTCCGTGTTCTCCAAGTGGGCCAAAACTCACGCCATCAAGTTCTTCAACCCACCGTGGCAGCTGTCGTGACCCAGGCTGAACGGACATGGAGATATGACACCATCATCATCGTTGTCGTCCTCAGGGGACCAGCTGGATCTCTACACTGGCAGAAAACGTGTTCCCTGATGTGTACACACATCCATATTGGCACAAATTCCATTTCATATCCATTAAAAAAGGTTGGTTGATGGCTGCTTGTCAAGTCCTGGATGGCTAATATCCAGGAAGTGCTTGTTTGTTTATTTTGACAGCCACTCAGACATACAGAGGTTTGACCATCATGGACAGCAAAAACATATCTCCTGCTTCTTGAAAACACTTTTCCTCCTGAGTTTGGAGAGCTGAAGAAAGTGCTCAGCACGCTGCTCTTCACTGACTAATCGATCCGTTCGCTGCTCTGTGAGTTTAGCAAAGGATGGCTCGAAGACTTACTTGAAAAAAAAAAACGGAGAAAACAACAGGAAGAAGAAACAACCATCTGTCAACTTTCAGTGACCTCAGCGGCTCACATGTCTGCAGGCGCTGCACATCGCAAAGGCTGAATTAAAAATGTTTTTCAGGACTGTAGCTGAAGAAGAGCTCAGCTGCCGCAGAGACGAGTCTCGTTGCCATGGACGCCTGGCGAGCTCGCCTACTCTGTTTCCTCTGCATGTCTGTCTCCGTCTGACAGGCTGTAATTAATCTATAAGGAGTATCATTCAGGCCTTCATCTCTGACTGAGGGACTATTGAAAACAGGTTTCAATTAAGTTTCCCCTTCTAAAAAAGCTTCAACAAAAAAGGCTGAGAAAGAAAAAACAGCAAAATAAAAGCAGATTTCAGTTCATAGTAGAAGGTGAGCCACAGTTGTAGATATGAATCAGCTTTTTTTTAATCATTATCCTTGGTTGTTATGCCGTGTGTAAACTAACACAACTTAAAGATGTCAGCTTTTTTTTTTAATTTTTTTAATAATGCTGTGAAATTTTAAGAGACATGTTTTGGCTTTGTCTGGATAGGTTGCTAATTTATTCCACAGAGATAGAAGCTCCTAACGCTCTTAAAGAATGTGCCATTGAAAATGTGAGCATCACAGCACATAGAGCAATGTGCAATTAGAAACTCCACACTTACGGAAGGAGTTAAATCATTTGTGACCCCACAGAGGGAGAGATTTATGTGTGCAGTGAAACCATTTGAAGTTAATTGTATTCTATTATCATTTTGTGCCTGCAATATACTCTGCAGTCCATTGTATAGAGACAGAGGGAGATGCTCTCTCTCACGCTCGCTCATATTCTCATCCAGCTTTGTGCCTCTTTGTGTACAGTATCACTGTGTGAACACATCTCCCCATTTGTCTTTGAAAGCAGCGTGCGTGTCTCCCGGTTCAGGTCATTACATTTGAATGCATCTGTTCCAGGACAGTGAAGAATAATCAGTGAAGTGCTGAGGTGTGTAGGTTGGCTGGTAGCTGTGGAGGGTTGAAACACTCTGGCTGTGACCGTGACTCCCCTTCCCCCCCCTTGAGGCTGTGATTAGTGTCCCGGTCAGAGTCACGGCCCAGAGGGGAGGACTGGAAGGATTCAAAGACTTCTAATTTAGGCAACTTGATGCACAGGGTCCCTGACGACTGTAATAAACTGCAGCTGAGCTTCACAATCTCACTCCAACTGCACAGCACTGTTTACTATCACACATAGGCACTCCATTTTGGGCTCTTTCTCAGTAAGCAGCATTGATTTGGTGATTTACTGGTCAAAAGACATGTAGGTTAAAGCTGCCTTTTGGATGTCCTGGCAGGGACGTAGCCACCATGGAGGACTCTGAAGTCATGTCCTTTGTATTTGTCAGTGAATATCAGGGTTTTAGCAACTTGGGATTTTACATAATGTAGTGTGGTGAGAATTATAAGCCAATTACAGAATTAGTATGTTTGGATTTGACTACCTTTTTTAGGCCAATGAATAAATAAAGTTTTCAGCTTTTATCCCCCAGAATAGCAGTTCATGGCAGCATGGAAAAGGCTTTGGAATAGTATTTAGATCTTCATGTTGGGAAGGGAAATTTACCAGAGGTATAATTAAACAGCTGAACAGGACCTTATGCGCCACTCAGAGCATATCTATAGCCCGCAATAGGGCCACGACCAAGACCCTTCATTTGCTTTTCTGTACAGAACCAAGTGATTTTAGATTGCATGCCGGTGTTATGGAAGTAAAAGAGGTGCGACGGGAGTGATGTGTAACAGAGCAGCGTTGGCCTCTGGTGTGACATAACACACGCATCAGGCAACACTTTCTAATCTGTGAAAATGACATAATACATCATAACAACCATTTAGTGTTCATATTATACCACAGCTGTCCCGTCCCGCCGGCTGTCCCTTTTACACAGCCATTTATTCAGTTCTGTTAATAACTCCTCTGCTGGCCTAAAGGTGAGACAACTCTGTCTCTCTGTCCTGGGACAGAATTGCCTGCACACAGTCTGTCTGTCTGTCTGTTAACATGGAGATTTCTGAGCCGGCAGTTAGCAGCTAACAGTACTAACTCAACAAACAGTGCTAACAGACGAAACAGTGCCGACAGAGCTAACTTTGTGACGGGGGAAATCAGAGAGTGGGCTCTACATTTTGGCGGCGACACCATCCCGATATTAAAGGTAACCACGTAAAGAGTCCAGTGCAGAGCAGCTGTGATTAGATGAACATGAATGTGCTGCTGGACAATCTACCGCTACAAAGAACAAAGAAGCTCAAAATTACAACACACACACAGAGGGAGAGTGACTTCATTCTCTGCTCAGAACGCCATTACTCCACTATATCTGTACTTAGCAAATATTTTGCTGCTATAGTAATGCTCTGAATGTCGCACACAGCTCCTTTAATTGAAAAGATAATAACATTACCCTGTTTCTGGTTTTTGGTCAGAGTTATTTGAGGATGGCAGGGTGTGTTTAGGGGACTTATGATCTCAGTATTTCTAAAATTCTGGCTACAGTTCCATGTCTACATCACACATAACTGTTGTTTCAACAGCATTCAAATGATTATGAATTAAAGTCTAAAATTCAATGCAAACCAGGCCCTAACAAGGCATATGCAAAATAATATTAAAATACATTTTTTAAACTGAGTTGGAAAAAATGATAAAACATAACAGAGACATCTAAAAAAACACTAGCCCCTGTTCCCTGCACAAACTCTCAAGACCCCGGGAACCTTAACTCTTCCTTCAGGAAACAGGGTCTACATTAAGTTCTGGCCACCAAAAAGTCTCTGCTCTGTGGTAGCGCTTACAGATGGCCCAGGAAATATTCGGCTGGAGTTTGCTGTACTGTGAATGTGCCTCATTGGTCAAACGCAAGCCTTAGGCAGCTACAACTTATGTTCAACATTCATTAACACAGAAAGCAAGCAAGCAGAGGCACCAGTATTAATATTAGGACTAGCAGTGGAAAATGTTTCTAATGTTTATGTAAAAAATATATATATATATGTAGTTGACTTCCTGTCTCTTCTTCAGACACAAATGTTCTGTTTTCAGGTTTCCTCTCCACCTCACGTTGCACTCTCTTGCAACATCCATTCCAAATTTGTATCTGTGCAACTGTAAACTACAGAGAACAACAAAATGACTCTGTTGTTGTTGTTGCATCATGTGTGGAAATTGCAGTGCCGTCATTTGCTGATCCATTATCAGTCCAATTTCAGTCTTCACTGTTCTTCACTTGCAGTGGAAACACAAACAGAAATGTGCAGTTCAGTTTTTCATTTTGTCCCTGAGTTTAGTGATTTGGGTTGCTAAGTGCATAAAACGATTTGGTTGAAAAAGGACTAATTAACCTTTAAAGCTAATTAAGTTGCTGCTTTGATTTGTTTTACCAAACTTTTCCCAAGATCATGAATGAACTTTCATCCACACTGAAGAGAAGTCTTTAAAGTGAAAACATGACTGTGACTGTCAACTGATCGTCTCCATGACAAGTGACCAAACACCTTCGCCTAATGAAGACTGTGTGATAGAAAAACAGAGCTAATACGTGGACTGAAGTGTAAACCCAGACTTTTAGCCGTATTTTTACCTGCAAACAACCAAAGCTCTGCTCTCTGTGTTCTTGTGTCTCAGCTGTATGTTTGGAAACATTTTTGGCTTGAGGAACAGAGACAGAAAATCATCTCTCTCTGTTTCCCAGACGGAGTAAGATTCCCCAGAACTTACAAAGAATGACCTACAATTCAAAACTCATTGTAAGTCTACCTGGCTGACAAGAGCATCAGCAAAATGTAAAAATGCCCTATTTTACATTCCACCTGGTGCTGCTCAGCCTATAGGCGATGACCGTAACACAGGCGGGGTCACGGTTCAGATTTCCTCTGGGATGACATGTGCTTGAGAGGTACAAAATATCCCAGCACTGCGAGCAGCTGCGGATCAGAGTATCCACCGCACGATGTATGTAAAGCAGAAACGTCTTACTGTATTATTTATCCTGTTCAGGCAGACAGTAAGATCTGAGCCTCAGGAAGAAATTATACTTCTTTCAGTTCCTGTGGGAAAGCAGCTGTTAATACTGAATGCATACAATACACCATGCATGTTACATGATTAACGTACATCTTTTATACAACTCCACTCAGCCTGTGATTGTGCAGTCATCTGGCAGCTCTCCACCAATCAGTTTTACCTCTGCTGTACAGTATATCCACCGTAAATTGTAAAGCGCTTCGCACCATGATGAGATTTTAAGCTCTGTGTTGTCGTCCCGAGATTTTCAAGTGTGTTAGGGCACATTTTTTAATGGAAATTGTTTACTCACACCCAGAAGAAGAGCACCATGTTTCTTCTGCTCATCTTCCATCCTCCGCTTGTCGATTTTATTTTAATGGTTGCTTTTATTTTTTTGTTGACTCAGTGGTTTGTGTTCAGCATTTTTCTCTGCTGTAGGTCGCGTGTTGCCAACATTTTCTGCTGCTTCAGGCTGTGCTCTCGGTTATTTTCCGATCAACACATACGCCATTGTTCTCCGCCAGAACACACTGGAAGAATACCTACAGATGTATAATACAGGATATTATGGAGAATACGTCCATATATAGGCTCCCATGAATCATCTGCAGCTTACAGGAAGAGTGGAGCCACAGTAATACCATGAATTAAAGTGTGAGCACAGTGGGAGGCCAGATATACCAAGAACATTTGTTTTAACTTTGAAAGAGTAGTTTGACATTTGGGAAAGCGCTTATTTGATGTCTTGCAGTGAGTTAGATGAGAAGATTGATGATACTACTCTGATATTTGTAGTAAATATAAAGCCACATCCGGCAGGTTAGCTTCGCTGAACATAAAGAGTGTAAATAGAAGGAAACAGCTGCCCTGGTTCTGTCCAAAGGCAACAAAATCTAACTACAAGCCCCTCTAAAGTTCACTTGTTAACATTTTAGCCAGCTCCCAGGAACGCCACTCAGCCTTGCTTTCATTTTTTTGCCCAGTGGCTGCTTTTGGTATTGCAGTGAAAAAAATCCCATGTCCAAGAAACAATTTTACCCATCAACAGCCATTATTAAAGAGATGTCTGAAACTGGTGACAGGACATCTAGAACCGCAAAGAAGGTCTGTTGTGACTCTTTCTATTAGGAATTGTTGATCCATAGAGGTTTCATATTTGTAAAGCTTTTCTGTGATATCATCACAATGTAAAGTCTAAGGGCCAAACACGAACTTGTGGGTGGGGCCAAAGGGAAAAACACTTCTGCACATATTCAGTGGGCTGCATTCCGCAGAAGCAAAACACCATCTTGAGGTCAGGTATCCACATCTTATAATAAATTTATGGCCTGGCCAAGAGGGAGTTTGATATGTAGAGAGCCAAAGTCATGATGTCATGCCTGGGCAAAAGTCTGTAACTTAATGCAATCTGTCATTCAGAGTTTCTGTCATCAGTCTTTCTGCGCCAAGTGTGTAAGAGAACTACAGTGGCTGTGCGAAAACACAAATGGCCCTCTCCAGAGCCACTTTTTGGTTTGTCCATTCTGGGCTACTGTAAAACAACATAGCAAACTCCTTGGAAGAGGACCCGCTCCACATGTAGATATAAATGGCTCTTTCTAAGGTAGTAAAACACAGTCATTCTTACTTTCAAGTGATTTTCAACTAAAGAAAACATAGTTGGGAATGTTATATACCATTTCTGTCAACAGATGCCCCTAAATTTTACACATTGGACCTTTAAAGGATTACTTTGTGAGCATAGCGAAAACTTCAGCTCCCATTGAAACGTACAAGTGTGGCACTGCAGGTTCTTACTGGCAAAACTTGGTTTTGTTTATACTCATAAAACTCACCAACGCTCTCTTCTAAAATAATTTTCCTAACTCTTTAGTTGACTTTACTGTCAAAAAAAACCTTTTACAGTATTTTTCTGCTAAAAAACAGAAAACTTTCGTTATTATCTAGACATATGAAGCAAGCCGCACCATCTACCGTGAGTATGGCTCTGTTCCAAAGCTGGATTTTTAGTTATTAGAATTGTGACAAATGTCAGTGGGAATGTAAAACAGGTTTTTTTTATTTCTGGATTCAAAGCCAAAAGTTGTGATTTAACTTTGGCTCTCTACAACCCCCTGGCCAATTCATGGTTTGTTTGTTTTTTATTTTTGTGTTGATCAAACAAACAAGACATAATGTGTAAATCTGTGAACATTATTCAGACAAGTCCAGGCCAACTGTTTCTCCCTGTTCCTAGTCTTAATGCTAACCTAAGCTAACCAGCTGCTGGTTGTAGCTTCATATTTACAGTACAGAGTAGCATCAATCTTCTTATCAAACTTGACATCAAAGAATGATTGAGCATTTCCAAAATCTATTTTTTTTTGCCCTGAATTCTTGTCAATTTGTCCTGGCTCTTTTTTATTTATAACTTACAGATCATTTAAACTGGCCTTATTTCATGTTCTGAGCAGTGAAGTTTGTTTGGAGATGGTTTCATCCATCCAGACCCGTGCCGTCGCTGTATATATGCAAATGAAAAAAAAACATTGCTTGTCCTTGGCGCGGCGACAGAAGTGGCAGCGGAATGAGCTCCGATTGTTCATTCGTTGTATAATGCGAAGGTAAAAAAGCAAATTGAAGGTCACTACCGTTAAAACAGAGGTGGCTTTAAAAAACCTGATTAAAACGTCTCGGGTCTGGATGTCTGCGGAACAAAGATGTGAACTTCATTATTCCTCACTATTTCAAATGCTCTCATTATTTTTGTCTCCGTTTCCTGCTGTGATCAGTCGAGATAATTACTGTCTGTTTTGGAGTTGAGATTTTAAAGATTGTCTGACTCCACGTCGAAAACCTCTTCAGTTTGTAGCATTTTCCCTCCCGACTGTTGTACTTGTTGCCATTTTCTCAAATGCCTCAAGTGCTTTCTTACTTTGAACAATTCATTTTATGTTTTCTTTCCCAGTGTGCATGTCTTACAACTGTTGATTTGTGTTGTGAAGCACTTTCCTTTTTTCATTTTCAGGTCAAGTGTCCTTGTGAAATGTGTAACTTTGGGTGTGTGTTAAGTTACATAGAATGTAATATAACACTGAGGTTGTTATAATGAAAGTTGTTTTGCTAACACAGCGAACACGCTCCTTTTTAGTAAGTAGTAGTAGTAAGTAGTGGTTATATGTATTATTCTGTCATTTGCTGTCTACATATTAGCTAAAATTAGAGATATTGTGAATGTTCTTATTTTTACCAACATGTCCTCTGTGTCTTTTGTTCTCTGTGGGGATTAAAGGAAACCTAAAACCTTGTTATATGATTAAAGTCCTTTCTAAACAAAACAAGCAGCATCAGAATGTAAGAATCCTGCTGAAATGTGTTCATGTTATTTGAATGGAGGCCGAGCTGAGCTGTCATCTCAAATCTGGCGTCTCATGAGATTTTTAAAACATCAGTGAGGGAGCAGAGATGTGCTGAGTTCAGACAGGTCTCGGGAGTTTCGTTGAGCAAGAGCGTTTTTTATGTAACCTCTGCATAAATAAAGAACTCGAGTTTTAAATAATAATGCTCACGTTCATGGTTTTTATGCTGCAGTTATGAATAAAGTATCAAGATAGAAGATGGAGTAAAAGATGAGCAATCTGAAGCAAAGCAGCAGGCTTAGATAACCTGACTTCTTATTCCCACCTGCCTTGTAAACACTAATGTCTCTCAAACTCCATGCCATCACTTTGTAACACAGGCTTATAGTTATAAATGGTAATTCTCCTAAAAAATGTCTTCATTTACTACTACTTTGTAACAACAAATGTTATGCAACAAATTTAGTGTTACCAGGATTATAACTTAATCCACATCTTGAGGTTTATATTGAACTGATCTGCAAAGTCGCAAAATATTCATACTATCTGCAAAACATTCACGCTCTGGCATCTTATTGTATCTGTCTTCCCCATAATATCTGCTACGAAAACACGAGTTATGCTTTAATTGTTATCTTTAGGTTTAACTCAAAGCACTTGGTTAAAAGATCAGAGAGAGAAGCAGGTCTTGTAAATAAAAGAAACTGTATATGAGAAGAGATAAGAGGTATTTACTTTTTCTATTTTTAACCTGAACCACAATCTTTCCTTAAAGGTCCAGTATGTAGGATTTAGCAGCATCTATTGGTGAGGTTGCAGAACTGAAACTTGTCCCATGTGCCAGACGTGTAGGAGAATTACGGTGCCACGAAGAGCCCTAACTAAAGTTACTGTTTGGTTTGTCCATTCTTGGCTACTGTAGAACAACATGGCAGACTGTGGAAGTGGACCTGCCTCATATGTGGATAAAAACAGCTCATTCAAAGTTAACAAAAACACACTGATTTGTAGTTTTAGGTGATTATAAACTAAACAGGGCACATAACTCCTCACTCCTCACTCCTTGAGATCAGGTGGAGAGATCCACTTCCTCTCAGGAGGAAATCCAGGAAGAGGAAGTATTTAAGTGTGGGAGTGGCCTATTTGAATCCATTTTGTTTGAGGCCATGTGGCAAGGTGAGTGTGTTTGCTGATCCTGTAAGTTTATTTAGCTCCTTTAACTTTAGCTTATATTGTAGTTATGCTATGTAGCGTGTGAAATAGAGTTTGGTGAATGTGCTAGGAAAGGTAGTATCAGCCCTGCTTCTACCTAGAGCTCGCATGTATGGAGCCTGGGTTTGGTTGAAGGTGGCAGTGCTGTTTGGGCTGAGAAAGCCATGTGTAAGTAAGGTAAAGGAGGTTATTGGGTTGGTGTGGGGAGCAGTGAGACCTGGCATTAGGGGAGTGTCTCTGGGACGCTAGAGATCACTGTCTAGCCTCCTGGAGGTGTCGTGGGACCAACTAGACGAAACACTGGTGAAAGGAGGTTCCCACCCGATGACCCCAAAGACATGCTAGTTATCACTCACTATCAAGCCTTGCCATATTAGCTTATCATAGGGCTTTGGTTTTTCACTGAGTGCTGATCCTTTCTCTAGAGCACAAACTTCTTGTGTTTATTTGAACTAATGAAAACATTGTTATGAATATAATATAACATTTCTGCCAATAGATGCCCCTAAATCCTACTCTTTGGACCTTTAAAGTAATAATCTAGAAGATATTTATTTAAATAAATGTTTGTTGAGTCACTATCTATTACTACACGAGGTAACACAATGGCCCACTGATGAAAGCCCTTGCGTTTGCAGTAGTAGGAGCTGGGTGTCTATGGCGACATTCCCAGGAAATATCACAAGTGGTGCATAGTCATTAATAATCCGCTCTTACAAACTCCCAAAACTTACACACATACATTATCTATCATAGTAACCCTTTCATCTCGCCAGCTGCAGGGCTCATAAAATTACCTTTTATAAATAAATTCACCAACTTGGTTTCAAGCTTTAGGACCCTGACACACCAAGCCGACGGTCGGGGGTTGGTCAATGTCAGACCGTCGACAGGCGTCTGTCGCCCAACTTTTTGCACTGTGTCCTGCACTGTTGGCACTAGTCGGCCCTTGTTGGCTGTCTTTCGTCAGATTCATCATGTTGAACAAACGTCAGAGACAGCAGAGCCTGTGGGTGAGAGAAATCACTCTGACTGGCAGCTCAGCCTAGTGCGTGACCAGAGAAACGGAAATTAAGAAAGCTAAACAAATGACTTAAGCCTAAAGGGCGTGAGATCAAAGAGAATGAAAATCTAATCGCACCTTTACCAATAAGTTTTGTATTGTAAACCTACTTTAACAAAGTGAATTTAGGACTCCTGTGCCAAAATCTTCCATTATGTCTGCGTCACAAAAAGTTCACACTTATTTGACTATTTCATTTTGTTCAAAAACATTTTAGTAGTATATAAATGTAGTATTTAGTAGTCAGGGTTTGTCATCTCTAGCCCACATACTCAACAAGAAGGTGACATTTTACATCTGTTTTCAAAGTACTGAAAAGTACTTTTCATGATTACTAAATGGACTCTGCTTCTGTGCTAAATTGCATGAGTTACCCTTTAAAAATGGATTGCTTGATGTTTGCAGTTTCAGGATTAACTGAAGATGTGTCTTTCAATAGAGCATCATTTCACTCTCATTTAGAAAAACATTCATCTCTGACTGTCATGCTGTTCCCAAGACGATGCCAAGTCTTGTCTTTTGTGGTATTTATCCAAATGTTCCCTAGCACAGCACAAAGTAAGCTTTGGTGTAATGTTGTTACCCCCCCCCCCCCCCCCCCCCCCCCCCCCCCCCCCTTTTTTTTTTTTTTTTCCTAATCATTTTTGCTTCCCCCCCCCCCCCCCCCCCCACCTCCTCCTTTTGGCTTTAGTTTAATTAATTGACAGTTTGAGTCGCTGTCCGCCTGAGCCGACCAATATCAACACAATGTCTCCAGCCCTGCAGGAGTGATTCAGTCATGACGGCAGAATCACTTGAGTCCAAACATGAACATATACATCTGCTTCATTCTGCTCAGCCTCTGAACACTGTGCCAATCTGTGTTTTATAAGGTAATAAATTAAGGTATCGGCCATCACTGAGCTGATCATGTA